TTGAGCTTGGGGAAAGGTTGGGGGAGGATTTAAAGCTCCAAGTGTGATGCCAACACAGTATTTGTGTATCTGCTTTCTCTCCTGGATTTGTAGTTTGGAGCAGTTGGGATAATGGTGGGAGGGGAATCCCCTCCTGCAGTCTGGCCCATTCTCTTGCTGATGTTTGGAAGCTCCAGCCATGTGTTGGTGGCTGCTGACCAGCAGAACTTTCCTGTCCTGTGTCCCCAGGCCGCCTGAACATCACTTACCCCATGCTGTTCAAGCTGACCAACAAGAACTCCGACCGCATGACGCACTGCGGGGTGCTCGAGTTCGTGGCTGACGAGGGCATTTGTTACCTGCCACACTGGGTGAGCTGCTCCTGCTGGGCTGACAGAACCCCAGCAGCAGCATTAGCAACTTGCCAGTTTCATATTAAAGGAGTGCAGTGTTTCCTGAATGTGTCTCTGCTGCTCATGTTCCAGCAGCTTTCAGTCCCAGCTCAGGTTTCCCTCTTCGAGAGGTTAACTAAGCAAAGCAGCCTGTGTTTAGGATGCACCTGGCTGTTATTCCTGAGATGAAACCAGGGTAAACACGTCAGGGAAGATGGTGGCCCCAGCAAAACCAGATATGCACAAGGAAAGAGACTTGAAAACATCTGACATACTGACAGTGGTTTGTATCTTTGTTTCCGTTCTTGCAGATGATGCAGAACTTGCTGCTGGAAGAGGGAGGCCTGGTGCAAGTGGAGAGTGTTAATCTGCAGGTTGCAACTTACTCAAAATTTCAGCCCCAGAGTCCAGATTTTCTTGACATCACCAATCCCAAAGCTGTGTATCCTTCCTATTTGATGATGGAAAAGATTTTTCTCCCAAATTGGAACAATCAGGCAGAGCTAACTTTCCAGCTGAGGCTCATGCTCTTCTGGTAGTAGGTGACTGCTGGTGCTGCTCCTTCTGAAAACAAAAGGGATGGAGAGCTGTTGTACAGAGATGTGGCCAGCTGCTGGCACAAAGTGTGGCCTGGAGTGAAGCAGCAGGAATCTTGGTTTAAAAGTCCAATGAATTTTGAGTGTCCCTTTGAGGAACTTGTACACCCTAATGTTTACTAAAAGGCTACCTCTGGTGTACTGTTGATTTGTAAATCATGTTTGAGAGCCCAAGGATCAGAGGTCTGTAACACAGTAACTTTAAAGCTTTGCTGTTGCCTTGAAAACAAGTGTTTCATCTTAACATGCCCTGAAGATTAGAAAATGCATTGAGAAACTTCGCCTGTCTAACGACTGGGGATGTTATTGCCATCAACTACAATGAAAAGGTACAGTAGAGGGTTGAGGGCTGCGGACTAAGTTCAGCTGTTGGATGTTGGTGCTAAAACAGTCAACCCAGAGCTGTGCAGTGTTGTTGACAAGTAATGCCAAGTGGAAGATTTTGCAGCTGGTTTTCTCTTGGAGGGGAAAAGTGGTCATTTAAGCCTTTCCCTGAACTGCTGTTTAAGCTTTCTTTTGACTCACAAGAAAAGAAGCCGTTGCACTGTTGAAGTTTTTACAAGCCAAAGGAGAGAATTTATCCTAATTTGTTTTCAAAAGTGCAGATTAAAGTACAGTAAGAGTGCAGTGAGGTACAGTAATAGGTAGGTTCTCTCAGTTCTGAGTTAAAAACCTTTGCTCTTAAGTTCTGTAGAGACCCTGCAGTATCCAGTCCTCAAACTAGAGCACTCCCTGCAGTTTTCTTGAAGCTGTTTGAAGGGAAGGGCTTACATGTGCTTTTCTTGTACATAAAGCTGAGCTTTTTCATGTGCAGTCCTAAAACACCCATTGGTGTTTCAGATCTATGAGCTGCGGGTAATGGAGACCAAACCGGACAAGGCCGTGTCCATCATAGAGTGTGACATGAACGTAAGTGAAGGCGATGTGGAAGGTGTGCCCTGACTGTGTCCTCCCGGGGGAGGGACAGTGCTGTACGTCCAGCACCTCTGGTGCTGCAAAAAAGGTACAGGCAGATGGGTGGGGAGGGTGACTCATCTGAGAGGACTCCCTGTGCCTTTGTAACCACGCCCGTGGTCTAGAGTGGCACTTGATGTACCATCAGGTGACGAGTGCATGGTTAGCTTCGATGTGCCTTATCTGGGTTGTATTTAATAGCCGTGTCGGGGATACTGTGGTGCTGCTGTACTGCTCTGTTTCAATTACATGCTAAGGCTAATTCCTGGGAGGCTTAGTCTTTTTTTAGTTTTGAGTTAAAATGTTCAACAAACAAATCTCAGTTCTTTCTAGATCTAATACAGTGATGATAGTTTGTGGAGTTTGGAGGAATAGTAGTATAAAGCTTATGATTAAAAGAAAAATATTAACTGCATTTATTTTCATGGTTTTTGTGTAAATAGGTGGATTTTGATGCTCCTTTGGGGTACAAAGAACCAGAAAGAAGTGCACAACACGAAGAGACCACAGTAGGTCAAGTTTCTGTTCTTCCAAAGTGTATTCCCTAGAAGTCAGCATTGCTTGTGGGGAAGCAGTGAGCCCCAATTTCTTTTTTTTTTTTTTTTTCATGAAACAAGTTCTTAAGGTTAAATTTGACTTACCAGGAGCTTTTGCATGTGTTACTTAGGAGATGGTTGTTTACCAACTGTTGGTTTTGTAAAGGGATTGTTCTGAGGTTTGGTTTGGTCAGAAGTACATGGGACTGTTTCCACGTTGTGCATGTCACAACACAAGCACAATGAATTCCTTGTTTTCTCCCTCCCAGGATGTGGAAGCCGACCACAGTGGATATGTGAATGACATAGGATTTCGTGTAAGTCCCTTATTTCTGCTGGTTTCTGAATGGTGTAGAATGGTGAGGGAAAGTTGTTTCAAAGAACTGCGAAATACTAATGTCTGTTCCTAGAGGCGATTGTCATTTAACTAGTGGGTACCTGCAGTTGTTTTATGGTGATTGCAGCCAGGAACTGGATGACTTGCTGTCTGTAAAGGTCAGTCTGTAAATGGGAGACTGAAACATACTCCTGCAGCCAGGGTCCATCAGCTTACATGCACCAAAAAGAAACATGCCGAATCAAATAACTAAATAAAAGTGACTGTGAGGTTGCACAGATATATATATATATATATCTATAGTGTCCCTGTGCAGTGAACGTTCAAATACCACAAGTTACATTAAAACTCATTATGTATCCATAGGCATTCTCTGGTTCTGGGAACAGACTGGATGGCAAGAAGAAAGGTGTGGAGCCTAGTCCCTCACCGATTAAACCAGGAGACATCCGAAGGTATGTTTCATTTGTCAGCAAGTGAAGAATCAGTGTTTGAGTAGAGTTTTAGGGTTTTTTTCCTGCTCTTGCAACATAAACAAACTAATTTCATCATAAACTTGCCTTTAGAAAATAAGTAGTCTTATCTACAGGCTGCATGGAAACATGGCCCTGGCCAGGCTTCCACAGCAACTCCAATATTTGGTTATTTACCTCATGCAGTGCATGAACCTTTGGAAAATAATTCAGTGATTTAACTCTGGAATTATTTAGTAATGGAAATGTGCAGCAAGTGTTGGTACAACACTGACAGACATGAAAGAGTTCTCACTGTGTTCAATTCCATGGTAGGTATAAAACTTCTTTCATAATATCTTTATACTTCTTTTCCAGAGGAATTCCCAACTATGACTTCAAGATTGGTAGAATCACATTCATCAGAAATTCACGCCCACTGGTTAAGAAAGTTGAAGAGGTAAATAAAGTTGAGTGCTCCCAGTCTTGCACAGAATTAGAACATTAGAACTAAGGTCCAAGTGTGTGGTTCCTCTCTCCATACTTAATATTCACAGCATGCTTCTGTTAAAAAGTGGTAGCAGTTAACTGGTGTGAGTTAAGTAAAAGCAACCTCTGGTGTCCTTGTGACTGATGTAAAAAGATGGGCCTGGTGTGTAATGAGCCAGTGCACCCTCATTTCAGGTGGCTGCAAGGCCACCAAAGTACTCCTATTTTATTTTCAGGAAGAAAATAGTTAATATCTAGATTAAGGGTGGGGAATGTCTACAGTCAGTGGCTGCTCTGATGGAATGTTCTTGCTCATGATTGTTCAGCTTTCATCACATGCAAGCTCTGAGCAAAGAGGTAACAACCTTTTTCCCCTCTTTCCTTTCTCCAGGATGAATCTGGAAGCCGATTTATTGCCTTTTCAGGAGAAGGCCAGTCCCTGCGCAAAAAGGGAAGAAAGCCCTAGGCTGTGGGACCTTCAGTTAGTTAGGAGGAAAATAAAGTAACAGTTGCAGCATATTGGATCTTAGTTATTGCAGTTAGAGGAGAGATCTTCTGCAACATAGGAACCCTGTTCCTGGTTCTGGCATGTTTAAAACCAGAGCTGTCAGACTGTCTTAATTTTCAGTTGAAAATTGAGTCCTGAGCTTTTCGTGTGTGTTGTGACGAGGGGAACGTAGATCTCTGATCAACCTGAGAAGTAAAACTAACAAAGCTCTACCTTACTAAAGATCCAGTTCTTAGACTACATCCTCCCCTCCTATCCTGAGTGATGATGGTCTCATGTCGCTCTTTGCTTGGTATTTTCCTCCCTCTCTATATAATTTTGCCACAATTTCAGGTAAGCTTTTTTGGTGTGGTGCGGGTGAAGGCTGACACTTGGGTGTTTAGGACTTTGGTGCTCAAGGAGTCTCCTTGAGCTTTAGCTTCAGGTGTTGGGTTATCAACCATTTTAAGCAAACCCCTTGTAAGTGCTTTTTATATTTATAATTATTAACATGCCTTTTAATAGTTCAGATGCTATAACGTAGCGATCTAATGGCAGGTGTAGGGAGAGGTGAGACCCAGCTGCGCTGCCCTGCTTTGCAAGGCGGTGTGGGTGTCACCCCATGGTAGGCGCTGTGCTGAAAGGTCAAGTAAAGGATCCTGGTAACCATCTGTGTCCCTGTGTGGTGATTTGGATCCTGGTACCCGGCTGCGTCCCTGTGTGATGATTTGGATCCTGGTACCCAGCTGCGTCCCTGTGTGGTGGTTTGGATCCCTGTGTGGTGGTTTGGATCCCTGTGCGGTGATTTGGATCCCTGTGCGGTGATTTGGATCCCTGTGCGGTGATTTGGATCCCTGTGCGGTGATTTGGATCCCTGTGCGGTGATTTGGATCCCTGTGCGGTGATTTGGATCCCTGTGCGGTGATTTGGATCCCTGTGCGGTGATTTGGATCCCTGTGCGGTGATTTGGATCCCTGTGCGGTGATTTGGATCCCTGTGCGGTGATTTGGATCCCTGTGCGGTGATTTGGATCCTGGTACCCAGCTGCGTCCCTGTGTGGTGATTTGGATCCCTGTGTGGTGATTTGGATCCCTGTGTGGTGATTTGGATCCCTGTGTGATGATTTGGATCCTGGTACCCAGCTGTGTCCCTGTGTGGTGATTTGGATCCCTGTGTGATGATTTGGATCCTGGTACCCGGCTGTGTACCTATGTGGTGATTTGGATCCCTGTGTGGTGGTTTGGATCCCTGTGTGGTGATTTGGATCCTGGTACCCGGCTGTGTCCCTGTGTGGTGGTTCGGGCGAGGCCGAAGCGGGCCCTCCTTGCCGGGGTGCGCTGTGAGGGCGCTGCTCGCGCGCCGCCTGGCGGGCAGCCATTGGCTCTGCTCTCGGGGCCGCTTTGTGCCGCCCCTCGCCATTGGCCGCGCCCGCGTGTGCGGCCGTAAGCGCGTTGGCCATTGGCGGGGGCGCGGCATGGCGGACGCGGGCGGCTCGTGGCGGGTGAGGGGCGCGGGGCCGGGGTGGGGGGCTCTGCTCGGCCCGGCCCGGCCCGGCTCAGCCCGGCCTTGTGTCCGCCCGCAGCCGCCGCGACCGTGCGAGGACTACTGGGGGGAGTGGAAGCACTGCCGCGGGCTGCGCCACGCCTTCCACCACTACTACGCGCACGGGGAGCTGCCGGCCTGCGGGCGCTGGCGGGAGGACTACGAGGCCTGCCGCGCGTGGGAGCGGCACCGCGCCGCGGCCGCGCAGGTACCGCCGGGGCTGCGGGGGCCTGGGAGAGCAGCCGGGGAGGGTCGTCCTGACGGCCGTTTAAGGTCCAGGGAGTATTTTCAGTGTTATGCTGCAAAAGCCCTTGATTTCAGTTATTCTGACGTTCCCTTCCTGATAGGAAAAGCTGCGACGTTACAGGCAAAAAGCGTTCCTGCGGTGTCCAGAAATGCCTCTGGCTCAGCCCCACGACGCTGGAGGACTCGGGCCCTGCAGCAAAGGCTACAGCATAACTGCTCAGCCAGGCAGGAAAGCCCTTGGTGGGGAGGGCTGCACAGAACTCGCAGTGTTCTTCCTCATGCAGGAGTCACAGGCAAAATATGACTTAGTTAAAAACCTGTGTCCTGGCTTACTTAGATAGCATTTGGCACTTCTGTTTAAGCACGATAAATTTCTTTTTCTCATGGGCTCTTTTTCTCATGGGCTCTGGAATATCCAACGCTATCAAGGTAATATTTTTCCTCTGTTTCAGGAAGCTTTGTGCAAGAGTGAAAGAGCTCGAGTCATGGAAAGCCAGAAGTACGCTCCTGTGTGGACACTCAGGAAGAGCCCCCCACCAGATTGGTATCTACCCCTTGACCAGGACAAACCAAATTAGGAAGATTGTTTGCTGTGTTTAGTCAGTAACTTAATACATAATTCAGAACTGTGCTGCCTTTTTTCCTTCCATGTCATCTTGAAGTTATACAACTGTAGCTCTGCCCTGCTGTACTTGAGCACTCCTTCAAAAGTACTGAGAGTTTATTTAAACGCTGAGTATTTTTTAAAGGGAGACTTGAGGTGCTTAATTTGTCTCTGGTCTTGTATTGCTCTTACACTTTAGGATTTTGTCTCAGCAACTCAGCAGACAACTCCCAAATTAATGCAGACGTGATCCAGCTCCTCTTGCTAGATGAGGGCCTCTTCCCTTCCTGCTGGTGGTGTGCACTTTTGGAACAAGGTACCCACCCCAGGCCTGCAAGACGGGCAAAAAACAAGCCAGGAATCCTCCCTCCAGTTCAGGACAGTCCCAACCACTGGCATTTAAAAGGCATTTCCCAGAACAGGATTGTTGTGGGTTAAGAGCTTCTCAGCTGATGGGGAGGTGCTGCAGACCCTGAAACTGCCCCTTTGTGGAACTACTCTTGAATGATGGTGTGTGTGGTGGTAGTATTCAAAACTACAACAGAAATAAATGTTTTAACAAATGTAGAGATAGATCTGGTTTGGTTTAGGGCAAAACCACGCAAACTTGATTACACAAGTTACGTGGCAATTTAATAAAATAAAAAAGCTGGCTTTGGCACTGGGTAAGGTTGTGTATAATTCTTAAAAAAATCCAAACGCACAGATACTTCACTAATATTTTATTTACAGTCCCACACCTGCAGCACTGGAACCTGCAGGAAGAATTGTGTGTTCTCTCTCCCTTCAGTCCGTCCGTCCTTCAGTCGCTGAGCAGCTCCTGGCAGGAGCCCCTCGCCCTCCTCACTGCGTGTACACCTTGGTGATATCAACACACTTCCCCTCGGGGGGGTCATAGCCAGGAAGGGGGGGGGTGTAGGTGGGTCCATCCCTCTGGAAGGGGAAAAGCCCCTCATCCCGTCGGATCGCTGCCTGGTACAGCTCCTCGGATTCCAGGCGCAGTTCCTTCAGGGCCTCTTGCTGAGATTCCACAAGGCTCTGGATTGCTTTCTTTTCTGCCTCATCTTGTTTCTGCTTAAACAAACACCACTTCTTCAGAAGTAAAACTCTTCTTTCAGTCTCTTCAGGAGACAGAGGGGGAAGGCTTCGCACCCTGGCAAAGAGTAGGGTAACATTGTGAGGGAGAAATAACCTGACTTCAAAGACCAAATAAAAAAAATCAACCCCCAAAACAAAACAAAAAATTAAACCCACAAAAACAAAACCCCAGAGAATACATTTAATTTACTAATAATTTAGTCTGTCTGCAAAGACATCCCCATCATTCTAACAGGAAATTCCTGTTACTTTTAGCAAGAACAAATAACATTTCCTTTTCACATTTTTGTCCTTATGGAAGTGGATAAGGTTTTGTACCAAGGCTGGCTGGAGTTGTGCAGAGAAATTCACTGCAAATGCAGGCACGTGGTAAAACCAGAGTCACTGACCTGTTGCTGTCCGAGTACTTGAGTGGAGTTATAAAATCCTCAATTGGGATCAGTTCTGGGGCAGCTTTTTCCAATTTTTTAAGCTTCTTTTTCATACGATCCTTCTGTGCTTGCTCTCTCCTAACATCCACTTTCTTCTTCTTCTTTGGTTGTGCTCTACAAGGGAAATAGTAAATAAAAGAAGGTATTTTGTCCTTTGATTCAACACCAGCAACTTCCACTTCAGTTTTCCAAGGACTGTTCCTTCCCATTGCTTAATTTGGTCCCTTATAGAAGTTTCCTGCCATGAGTTTTATTCAAGTAGTGGAATTTCCACAAGACAGTGACTTGTCTGCAGAGAGAGCTGTACTACCCAGGAAAAGCTACTTTGTGCTGAACATCAGAATGATTTGAGGACATTCCCCAAAAATTGAAGTGGAATTGTTTTGCACTAGCTTGGAATGCAGCAGAGCAGGTAACAGGTTTGGAGTGGAAAGGACCTTAAACCTCATCTGGTTCCAACCCCCTGCCATGGGCAGGGACCTCTTCCACTAGACCAGGTTGATCCAAGCCCCATCCAGCCTGGCCTTGGACAAATGTTCTTGTCATTTCATGTTAAAGAAGAGAGTGGGTGGTTTTACTGCTTCTAAAATTTGGAGCCAAATTCAGGCTGCAAATGTTACTCCTGTAGTACTTCTCCATGCAAATCCTGTATACCCAAGATACCGTGGCCCACTCCACAAACTGACCCTCACAGTGGACATCAGGGTGTCATTCCTGCCTTGCAGACTAACCAACCAACCCCTCTCTGAGGGTACCCAACAGCTACCAGGGTACTTCAGTGCATCAAAACAAAACACGGACACCAAAATGAAATGCACGTGGGCTGCCTTTGCCTTCACAGCAAAGCATTGCTGCTTCAGCTTTCACTGCCTGCTTTCACAGCAGGGACTTCTGGAGTACTGCATAAATCCCAGTGTGTCCAGCTGCATTCAGTGCCTGAGAAGCAAATGCTGCACAAAGCACAAAGTGGTAATTGTGTCACCTCTGAAGGGCCCTCGAGAGGCCAGCAGTCCTTAACTGCTTTGGCATTTGGAGACTCAAACACGCACAGGTAAAGCTAATCTGGACTTGGGAAGATCTGTGTTCCCCCGCAGATGAGAACACCGCTCTGTAACTCCAAGGCAGCCGCACTCACCTCACAGGGAGGGACGTCCTGAGGGTCAGCACAGAGCTCTGCCAGTGACTCCCTCGGAGCGGGCCCCTCTGGGGCAGCAAGGAGCTGCAGGAGGAAAAGGAACATAAAGCATGAGGACAAACCGACTCTGGTGGCACAAGAGCTACTTGTTAGTCAGAAATGAGTGATGAGTTTTGAACCATCTCAGCTTGGGGCAGGATCCAGCGTTTGCCCAGAGATGACCTCCAACTCTTCAGCGAGGTCACTGACCCCAAACCCGGGCTGGTCGGTGCCGGATCCCCCCGGGGGCAGTGCCGGGTCCCCCCGGGGGTGTTTCGGGTCTCCCCGGGGATGTTTCGGGGTCTCCCCGGGGATGTTCCGGGGTCCCCCCGGGGTCAGTGCCGGATCCCCCCGGGGGTGTTTCGGGTCCCCCCGGGGTCAGTGCCGGATCCCCCCGGGGGTGTTTCGGGTCCCCCCGGGGTCAGTGCCGGATCCCCCCGGGGTCAGTGCCGGATCCCCCCGGGGGTGTTTCGGGTCTCCCCGGGGGTGTTCCGGGGTCCCCCCGCCCGTACCTGGCCCGGGCCCCGCGCAGCGCTCGCGCCGCCGCCCACATGCCCGCGGTGCTCTCGCGGCCCGTCCGCCCGCGCCCCTGCCCCGCGCCCGCCGTTCCGGCGCACGAAGGTTCCGCGCGGCGCTCCGCCCCGCCGTTGCCGCCCGGCAGGGGGCGGGCTGCGCGAGGCGCGCGGAACGCCGCGCTCGGGGGCGCTGTTTCCCGCCGGGCCGCTGAGGCGCGGGCCGGTTCCGGCCGTGCCGGATCGCCGGCGGGCCCGGCCGGAGCGGGCTGAGCTCCGTCCGCCTGCCCGGCCCGAGCGCGGGGCTCGGGCGGGGCCCGGGGGGGCCGGCGGGGCCCAGCGCGGGCCCGGCGGGAACAATGAAGCTGCTGAAGCCGACCTGGGTCAACCACAATGGTGAGGCCGGGCAGGTGCGGCGGGGAGCGGGGCCGCGGCACTCGCGGGGTCCCAGGCCGGGCCTTGGGCCGCCCCCCGGCCGCGCCCGCAGCCCCGCCGGGCCCGGAGCGGCCGCAACAAGTGCCGGTGTGTCCCGGAGCGGGGCCGGGGCGGAGGGGCCGTGCCGGGGCAGCCCCCGGGCCCGTCCCGCCGCCACGGCGTGTGCAGCCCGGCCAGCTCCCCGGCTCGGGCGGGGACGGCTGCGGGGCGAGCGGGGGAGCTCCCGCCGGCCCGGCGGCTCCGTGCCTGAGACAGCGCGGAAGGCGTTGGAGCGCAGGGCGGTGGGCGCTGGAGGTGCCCGCGGGGTGAGGGCTGTCCGGGACACGGCACTGACCGCGCTGCTCCCACGGACCGGGGCGGCTTCGCTCTCCCAGTCCCCACACGCGCTAGGCTGTTTGTCTCCGTGGAGGAAAAGGTTTCTCCCAGCACTACTTTCAAAACAACTCCCTGAATTTCTATACTATCCTGTCTGCCAGTCCTCTGGGGATTTTGTAGAGATCTGTGAGCTCAAACGCTTTCAGAGTGAAGCGTTGGTATTGACAGAAGGCTCTGTGCTTCCCTAGTGTGGAAAATACGGGGTAGCATCAGTGTTATGTACTTAGAGCGCTTAGGATGAGTTTCCAGGTTAATACCTGTGCTGCTCCTGGTGAGGCAGTGAGAAGAAATCTGTCGTGAAGAGCTCGCTTGAGTTTGTGTGAGTTTTGTCCTCAGAGCCGTGGGTGCAGCTCCATTTCCACTGCAAACCGTGTGCCCTGTGAGTGTCTAAATGTCACTGTGCACTCACGCAGCTGAGTGGGATCTAGAATAAGACTAAGCTGGAGACCAGCTTACTCAAGCTGGAAAAGCGTGCTTCGAGTTAAAAACCACAGACACAGCTTTACAGCTGCCTTTCTGCCATGGTGTTGGGTTTGGGTCCGTGCTGCAGAGTTTGTAACACTCACTCAAGCCTCGAGTTGCCGTTCACCTGCATCTGTGCTCGGCCTGCTCTCCTGGGGCTGTGTAGGCAGCAGATGGATCCAACCTTGTAACCAAAGGTTGTAGTGAAGTGAAAAATTGTGGAAGTACTTTATTTGAGTTGGTTTTTACATTTCTGCTTGGTTAATCTAAACGAATGTAGCATTTGCATCTTAATCTCTGTCTGCCTGTGGGCAGAACGTCCTGTGCCTCTGTTTATCTTCAGTGGGAGCACACTTAGGAGCAGCTGAATAAAAACTTTCAGCCTAAATCTAATCTAAGAGATTAGATCTGTGAATTCTTTCCTGATTTCTTTAAAGGATGCACCTTTTGATATGGGTATGTCTTTGAAATGTGTAGCAATTTAAAACACATCCAGCCATTGCAGAAAACAGGCTCCAGCCAAGCAATTTGCAGCAGGGGTTCATTTGGAGAGCCCTGGGATACTCTGCCTGGTGGATAATGTGCTACCCAGGACCTCGATAGTCCCAAATTTTATTCCCGTTTCCGCTGATGACCTGATGGGATGAGTTTGGCCGAGTCACTTTGTCAGAGTTTCAGCACCTGCAGAAGAGACATTCGGCACCAGCTCCACCTGTGAAGCGCTGTCAGTGGTGCCAGGGGTGCAGGACTGTGACATTGCCACGCTGCTGGCCTTGGGGCAGGGAGTGCAGGATAAAATGGGGACTTCAGTCAGCCCCTTTAACCCCCAGGGTTGCGGATCCTCCAGGCATCCTTCGTGCAGGGAGCCTCCCTTTGGCTCTGGAACTTCTCCAGAACAGGGTCAGGAGAGTTTCCCCTGTGTGTGCTGGAGATGGATCATTTCATCAATCATGGCGTGATTCCTGCAGGGGCACACAGGGCTGTTCAGTGCTGCTGGAGCAGGGCTGGCTCTTGCACACTCAGACCCCGCTGCGTCATCACAGCCTTGCCCTCTCCTCACTCAGCTCCGGGGTTTTTCCTTCCCTGAGTGGACTAGAGAGAGTGTAAGGATGCTTACAGGTACCTGTTCTCCCCAGACACTGGAAACCAGCTGGGGCGTTCAGCACACCTGG